CCTTGAAATCAATATTTAAAAAGTCAAATTAAAACAACTACAATTGATGGTACAAAATTTAAAACATAGATGGGATTGAATATCATCATATTTAATTAATTAAATAACTAAATTATCAAAATCAAACTAAACCAATGTAAGAAGCACCAGTAATCTAGTAATCTAGTTAACAAAGAGTTTGATCCTTATTTTGTTACTAAAATAAGACTACAAAATATCTCTTTCAGGAGCAGTAATTTGAAGTAAAACAACTCTTGTTCCAAAATTCAACATTTGCAACAAGAAAATTTAATACTTTCAAAAGTTAGGCAACAAGAGCCTTTAAAAGTTGTACATCAAAGTGAAATTTGCTTTATTATAATACCAAACACAAAAACTTTTTGTCTTTAAAACAAACTGGACTTCTTAGGAGAAACAAAAAATTTCTTAAAAAAAAAAAAAGAGTTAAAAGTTAAATAACCAAACTAAGAACAGGAATTTAGGAATAAATGCACCCAAATATAGAACTTAAAGATTTGGATCCATGCGGGTCCAACAACCCGACTCCAAATATCGTTGACATTACGTGTACTGGTAGTCATCTGAACCGAACCGTATGGAGTACGGCTTGGTATATAAGCTCTCTACAACATTTACTGTTGTTTCTTTCCCGAACCAGCGAAAGTAGCGGCGACGAACCCCCATTCAAAGTAATTCCCAACCCAATCTTCAATTCCTTTCGACGATATGATGCAGAGGCCCCGACGACGCTGCGAGGGCACCGCCATGGGCTCCACCGTTTTCATTCTCCGGCCTGGCTTCGGTATCGGACCCTTCACTCTAGGTGCGTAATCTCCCTCCCTTTTCTCACGGAGCAAGCCTTCCTTTTTTTTTTCTTTTTTCTTTTTTTTTTGGTGTTTAGAATACAGTAATCAGTTCTGAACTCTTATTGTTTGATGAATCGCGGATTATGAAATTGATTTTCGAAATTCGAATTCATTGAGTTCTAATTGTCATTTTTTTTTATGGGCGAACTGGTTGCAATTATCGAATTTGCGGTTGAGATGAAATCAAATGGTTTCATTTCTTGTAGATTAGCTGCGTATTTGCTAGTCTTCATTGAATTTCTGTTTTGATTTTGTGCTGCATTGAAATGAATATGGAAGAGGAATTAATTTGCGAGTCATTTTACAAAATACTATCATTTAGTAGCTGATTACAGCGATTATGAGCAGTTCAATCTGTTGCTAGTTTTTTAAGTCCTATCTATTTGCTGTGAAGATTATAAGATTGTTTTGATTGTTGTTTCAGGAATGCCAATTTGCGAAGCATTTGCTCAGATAGAACAAGAGCCAAATATTTATGATGTTGTCCATGTCAAATACTTCGACGAGGTTTGGATAAATTCTTTAGTCATAATTCGTGCTCTGCCTCAATTTTTTTTGCTCACTTGTTTTGTTGCATTCAATGTAAAATTAAGATGTATATCGCTTGGTTACTTGCGATTCTTCCTGTATTTGTAATTGTCCCTTTTTAATTTGTGTTACTCCAATAATATGATAAGAGCTGTGTCATGTTTTTGGTCCTTGCATTCATGCCATCTATCTTATTTATTTGGCAAAACGTAACATTCCAATTCCTGTTTTGCTCAGGAGCCACTTAAACTGGACATTGTCATTAGTTTCCCTGACCATGGTTTTCATCTACGCTTTGATCCTGAGTCTCAAGTACGATATTTTATCCATATGTCTTTGTTTTTTTGCAAGTCTCTTTTCTTTGATGTATCTTATCTAACTTTCAATTCTTTATTAGAGATTGCGTCTTATTGAAATTTTTGATGTTAAACGTCTTCAACTGCGCTATGCCACTTCCCTGATCGGGTAAGTCTGGCCCTAAAAAATTTATTACATCACATCTAGAAAATAACTAAATATTGCTGCTGATCCTTGTTTCTACATTCAGGGGAACATCCACATTAGCTACCTTTGTAGCTGTCTATAAAATTTTTGGGCCAACCTTTCCTGGACTATATGACAGAGACAGAGGTGTTTATACTCTATTTTACCCGGTATGTACACTGAAGACCTGATTGTTGTGGTAATGCATTCTGTGTTTTAAATGCTATTGTCTCCTGCTGCAGTTTTTTTATTGTTTGTATTTGGCAGGGTCTCTCCTTTGCTTTCCCAATTCCCAGCCAGTATACAGACTGTTGCCACGATGGAGAAGGTATTTATTCAACGTATTATCTGCTTTAACTACTTTCTTAGCTTCTAATTTTGATTAATTTTATTCCCCTCCCCATGATAGCGGAATTGCCACTGGAGTTCCCAGATGGAACCACTCCAGTTACTTGCCGTGTCTCTATATATGACAGTTCCACAAACAAAAAGGTTGGTGTTGGATCCTTGATGGATAAGGCTACTGCTCCGCCATTACCTGCTGGCAGCCTATACATGGAGGAGGTCCATGTTAAGGTTTGGCTTTTCTTTTCATTTGCTGGATTACATTTAGTTGATTATTTAAATATCATGGAGATATTGATTTGGGTTACTTAAATGATTAGATTTAATTTATTCTGTATGTCTAAACTGCAGCTTGGGGAGGAACTATATTTTGCTGTTGGAGGCCAGCATATTCCGTTTGGTGCATCACCACAGGTAAACCCTAGATGTCCAGGATTGTCAGTTTGCTTTTAGAAGCTTTGGCCAGAACATTATTTTTCTCATTTTGGCTCATATTTGGTCAGCGACTCATTTCACTATTTCATATTTTAAAGTTATTTTGGGAAAAATGAAATTTTAAGTTACATGCCATCTTGGAGAAAATTGTTCGAATAGAAGTAATAATGAGTAGGAAGGATGAAGGAAATCTTGTTGAATTATGTTGAATAAATTGCTGATATTTTTATAAAGTAGTGATTTTGGAAATCTTAGGCTAATAGCCATGCACCATTCAGTTTAGTAGTTCCAGTTTGTCTTGTTTTGTTGTTTTACTTCTTGATCTGAATGTTCCTTGTTCATTTTTTTCCCTTGTTTTTTTGTTTATTGTCTATCTTATGGTTTGTTTCTGCTTCAAAGTGGTCTAAAATCAAAATTAATTTACTACTATTACCTATCCTTTTATTACTCTTTTTCTTGGTCCGGTCTCTTATTGTTTTCCCTTCTATGCAGGATGTGTGGACTGAATTGGGTCGTCCTTGTGGAATCCATCAAAAACAGGTAATGCTGATCTACAATGCTTGGAAATGGAACATTGAATGATTTACGGTTTTATCCTCTTCATATTATCTGTTCAAATATCAATGCTTATCAAATTGAATGATAGGCCAAAGAATTCTGAGGCTTGGTGTCCTTTTTTTAGTTTTACCCTTTTTCTCCGTATAAAATTCATCTGGCTGTGTTGGCATATGTTGATTTTGCCACCCTGTACAGGTGGATCAAATGGTTATTCACTCAGCATCAGATCCTCGACCCCGAACAACTCTTTGTGGGGATTATTTTTACAATTATTTCACTCGTGGTTTAGACATCTTATTTGATGGCCAGGTAAGCAGGACTAATAACCCCCTTGCGACGCTCACCTACACATTCAAAAAGAGAGATCATTTTATGTTTCAGTGCACTGTGTTGTTAAGAGGTTATTTAGATTTGTCTTTTCATTTACCAATGCCTTTTTCCTAGAATCATTTTGCTTCCTAATCTTGTCTGTCAGAAGTTTTTAGACAATTTTTTTGGTTTTGCAGACCCATAAAGTCAAGAAGTTTGTTTTGCATACAAACTATCCTGGTCATGCAGATTTCAATTCATACATAAAGTGCAATTTTGTCATCCTAGGTCAGGACGGTAAGTCATTCCTCCAAATCTTATGATTAAAGTTACAGGCAATGGTAATTAATCTTTTCTTTCTTGGATTCAGATGGGGGATCCTTTTTGGATGCAAATGACTATAAAAACAGGATTACGCCAAGCACAAAGTGGGAGCAAGTAAAGGTAAACCTTTTACCACGGATTGATTAAGGAAGATTTTCTTCTTCTTTTCTTTTTTTTTTTTCTTCTTTTTGGGAGTGGGGTGGGGGAGAGGGAGTTGATAAGTCTTCAATTTCTTTAAATATTGAGACATTCTACAACAAAATGAGTTGAAATTGATAAAATCTATCCTCAACCTTATTTTCTAATTAACCTGTGTCTTTGTTTTAGCCCTTTTCAATGGTTGTAATGGAATGATATGCTAATAAATACCTCAGGAGATTCTTGGGGATTGTGGCCAAGCGGCTATCCAAACACAGGGTTCTACTAGCAATCCTTTTGGATCTACTTTTGTCTATGGCTATCAGAATGCTGCTTTTGAGGTTAGATTTTCTTAATCAATTCTTGATCCTTTGCTTATTTATATTCAGGTAATGATTGTGAGAGGGATTGCTAATGTAGATCTTTGTTATTAGCAGGTGATGAAGAACGGCTATATTGCAACTGTGACTCTTTTCCAATCATTGTGATCTGTCCAAAATGCTGCTCCTCTGCTTTCTTTTCGTTGGATTAGCAAGGTGAACTTGCATTGAGTTCTTCGTGATTTCTTTCTCTCTCCCAATTTTGTTTAATTTCTTATTATTTTGGTTGTTGCAGTTTGATACTTGCTCCTCCGCAATGAGGAAACTGGTGGGTTTGTACAGTCAATTGTGGAAGCATTAACTAATATTGTTTGTAGAAAACATAACAGGGGCGGCTGTGATATGTATACACTTGTATTCATCTGTACAGTTCATTCGTGCTATAGAATTCAATGACCATGTATCAATCTGTAATTGTTTACCAAAAATCGCATCGTCTTGCGCTAAAAGGATGTTGCCGCATTTCGTGTTTCTCCTAAATTGCATTGTATATATTCGTACTTCAATTCCTGTCTTTCTTGCGGTCAAACTTAACAGGCTGCTAGGTTCTCAGCCGTAGCATCATACCTTAAACTTCACCCTTTGGAACTTTAGCAAACCAGTGAGGTTCTTAGAATTTGTATCTTTATTAGAAAGAGAATGGTTCTACTTGCACAGTTTGATAGTCCTTACAAATTATTGCTAAATCTAGTTGAACTTGGGATCATCATGAGGTAGGAAGCCAGACATGGCCGTCAATGAAATCAACTGACATAAATGGTTTTGCCTCTTCTGTTGTAAGCTCCCTCGACCATGAAACTCGCCGTTCAAACTCAGCCCCTGGCCCTGAGCACTTGTACTGTCCATAAAAAACAGTCCTGCAAAACCAAAGCTCTAACTTAGCCATAATCCAGTTATTTATGTGTGTGGAGTAAAAAGCAGAGCGCATACATTTCCCTGTTTTTGTCTCCCCAGTCATACCATCCTTTCGGGGTAATGATCTTGTCCATGTAAGTATAAGCAAACACCACCCTAGAAAAAGTGCCCCATGCCCTCCCCAAGTAAAGTGCACCAGACCCTGTAACCTTGCAGTTGACAAACGAGAAGCCTGTTTCCTCTAGCATGCTCTGCCTCCTCTGGGCTGTCAATGCTCCATAGCTGCTTCCTATGGCATTCAAATGGCAGTCCTTGTAGAGGGACAGTCCGTTTCCAAATATAAAGTCCACAGAGCCTTCAATGTAGCAGTCCTTAAAGTAGTGTCTCCCAATGTGATCATAAAGAGTGTCTTGTGCCCCAAAAAACTTGCATCCGATAAAGGCTGCTGTATCCGCTGAGATTCGTAGTGCCACAGCTTGTTTCCCTAGAGCCCCAGATGGAGGTAATGGCGCTTTGTTCTGCCGAAAAATTCAAAACTTCAAACAGAGACACTGTGCTTTACAGAAAAAAGTACCAAATCTCAAATTGAAAAAGATGACCTTGAAGGTGATATTCTTTGCAATGAAGTAAGGAGAGTTAACTGCAAATGTTGCAGAAGCAAAAGTGCCAAGGGGATGCCCACTTGGCCCCATCCGGTCTGCTGTGTCATCCCACTCAATTATGGTCTTGTCTGCCCCAGCACCTACCAGGGTAATGTAAGCCATTGTTGGAGGAATTTCAACCTTCTCTCTGCATTTACCAATTACCACCCAAATTATATAACACCATAAATAACACAAAGCAGAAAACAGCGCCAATTTACCTGAAAGTTCCAGCCCCAATGGAGATTACAACACGGCAGAGATTAACAGCTGGAACTGACTTGATAGCCTTCTGCACCGTACGGAAATCTCCAAATCTTGGTTTCTTTCTCACTCTTAATTTTAAGCAAGGCTTGAACTTGTTCTCTGGTTTTTGGAAGAGAGAGTGCTTGAAAGAAGCCATCTGTTTGACCCATTTCAGATATGCTTTTTCAACCACCGCAATCTCATTAGACCCATTTCGAGTATCCAAGGCAGAACTTGCACCATCCAACAGTAAGATAAACAAGAATAACTTCACAACCATCTTCCAACAGGAATGTGTTTGTTGAAGGTAAGAGGAGGTAAGTTGGGCGGTATATCTGTTTCAGAAACAGGGGTTCAAAACCAGAAAGGAGGAGGAGGGAATTGCAAGGGAATCTTGCATGGTGTGGCTGTCTGTAACTATATTGGCTTTTTCCTGGTAGACCATTTAGACCCAGCAGAGACTTGGCAGGGAAATTGGTGTGTTCTTCTTGCCTGTTTCTGTTCTGCCATATCATATGAGGATTGCATTTCTTGTCCCCTTTCCATTGACTGCCAGAGGCACCTCATGGATTCAATACAAAAATGGTAATTGCATAATATTATGATATCATTATTGCCCTCATCTTTTTCTCCTTTGTACAAATAGAGAATTAGATACGGAAATCTATGACGAAATTTAACCCCATTTCTACTGCGCCTTCTTTGGACATTTGTTGCTGAAGAGGCCGTGACGGTGTGGTCCATTTTCAATCTCTTCCAATTTGTACTGTGCGAATATGGTAGTAGAAAGAACAAAGCAAAAATTCACGGGGGAACGCTAAACACCGCAACAAAATTTTTTACAGTATTATATTACTATAGTTATAGAGGTTTTTTTAAACAGGAAATTATTTTATAAGACATATTGTATGTTGTTTATTTTATAAAATTATTTAAATTTATTTTTATATTATTTTATTAAAAATATTTAAATAATTTAATATGATCGACTCCATATAATTCGTCTGGTAAAACAATTTTCAATTTTTTAAATTGTTTCTTAAAATTAAAGGTGTATTAATTATATTTTTTAATTAAAATTATTTACATAACATCATTATTAAAAATAATATTTACTCTTATATGTTTTTATAAAAAATATTACAATTAATGTATTGGCCTAATAGTTCAAGTTAGAAAATCCTAATTTTATATCAGTAGGAAAACAACTCCTTTTAGGCAAAAATGTTTTCCGTTGCCGGGACTCGAACCCGGGTCTCTCGGGTGAGAGCCGAGTATCCTAACCAGCTAGACTACAACGGATTTTGGTTGAGTGGTTATCGTTGATAGCTTAAATCAAATAAACGTTATCATTTTCACCCACAACCTTCTCTGGTTTCATCGACCTATCTTAAGTAGAACATATGGTGCAAAGCTTCTCTCATCACAGGTCTCCAATTTTTTTGTTGAAGTGAAATTATCAAGATTTTCTTTGTAAGATTTCTTGAATCATCATGTCTTGCTTGGAGGAGCTGTCTCATGTTCCATGACACTTACAAGTGATTGTGGGCATAAAAGCTTTTTTTGTCAAGAGCTAGTTTGGAAAGAGAGATTTGTGAGTAAATTGACTTGCCATCTATACAAAGATTAAGGATGGCAACGGGTCCCCACAGGGACGGGGACCCCCTCCCCATCCCCGTCAATGGCGGGTCAGGGATCCCCGCGGGGAATTTTGGCGGAGGGTCAAAAATTACCTCCGTACCCATCCCCGCGGGTAATAATAGGTCCCCACAGGTATTCGGAGTCCCCACCATTCACTGCTTGTTAATCAAAATTCTAAAAGAAAATAACAATTTTACATAATCCTATATAGCAAACAAAGATGATCAAGATCACTCTTTTAAAACAAGCTGGAGGTGAGCGGTGGTGAGTGAGTAGTGTTGCTGACTTGCAGTGATGGGCTGACAACATGGTGCCACGGTGAGAGGCAGGATGAGATGACCCAGCGGCAGCCTTGGAGCTCAGCTGGAGGTGAGCGGCGAGCGTTGCAGGGCAGCAGTGGCCAAGGGTTGTAGTGTCGGCGAGGTTGAGAACTGACGGGAATCACTGTGAAGGTCCGTGGAGGTGAGGGCAGAGTTTGAGCAAGAGTGTGGCAGAGGATTAGAGGAGAAGAAACTCAGAGACTGGCTGGAGAGACCGATCGAGAGACGACATGGTGAGTCGGTGAGAGGTTGAGAGCTGAAGGGAAGCACCGATTCATAGTGATCCGTGGAGATGAGGGCAGAGTTTGAGCAAGAGTGTGGCAGGGGACTAAAGGAGAGGAGACTCAGAGACTGACTGGAGAGGAGAGACCGACGTCGACCAAGAGAGGAATGAGGAATCCCAATTCCCAAATTCGCAATTTGCAATTGCAAGAAGCGGCAAGCAAAAGAGAGACTGAGTGAAATGTCCTCATGCTAGGGTTATATGTAAATCGGGCCTGTAAATTGGGTTGTAAATTGGGGCTGGGCAATTAGGTTTAGGATTATTAGATTAACAAAAAAAATTGGGTTGGGCTAAGAATTGGGTTTGAAAAAATTGATAAAAGAATGAGTTGTAAAATTTAAGTTATGTTGGTATCGAGTTAACTAATTAAATTGGATAAGTAAAAATTAATTGATAATATATGTAAAAAAAATATATAAACAAATTTATATATTTTTTTATTTTATATGGATCCCCACGGTTCCCCACGGGGTGGAGAAAATTCCCTGCGAAATTTCACGGGTAGAAAATTGCCTCCATTCCCGTCCCACGGGTAGGAATATTCTGAGAATCTCCATCCCCATGGCGGATATCTCTGCGGAGCTTCGCGGGTCACGGAGAAAATTGCCATCCTTAACAAAGATGTAAAACTAGATCAAAGTATAGATAGGTTATTGATTCTCATGATTTTTTTCTTGGGTGGTGTCTTTGCTAGTTTGAACCATGGGGCAATTGAAAATTGTTAGCTATAGAATTCAAAGGTAGTAAACCATAATCCCTCCTGTTGTAGATGTGATAGGTTATGAGTTGCCTGCCAATTCTTAACCATTAGTTTGCTCGAAAATTCATTGTTTTCAAGGTTCTAACTGATCCCTTGTCACATTTACAAGAAAACGGTTCACAACAAATTCTAACTGGAAACAATCCCAACTGCTAAAATCTAAGCACAGCTTGGGGCAAGCATGTGTCTAGACCCTGGCTTTCATAATACAACTAATTATCTATGAACTTGCAAGTGTAATACAAACAACCCAAACCATTAAAAAAGCTAACTAATTATACAGAACGTTTTACAAATGCTATACATTCCCAATAATGCAATTTTTGGGCAATGTTATAAGAGCATTTGATCATTGTACAAATCAGAAAAATGGCAGTAAAGCAAGTAAAGGAAAAGTAGAGACGTGCCTGTGATTAATAAAATATGATTGGCAATATATTCAGGTTGAAAACCAAGATGACCACTAATACATGCAACATCTTTCACAATGACCCCTTAAACATCTGTTGAGCAGGTAGAGAGTACATGAGATTGAAGTTAGTTACATGAGAAATTAACATGTTTAGGCATCTAAGCCGCAAAAGTATTACATGTAACTCCTACCCGAGTTTTGGCACTCAGACAGCCACAAATCAATATGTTCAACGATTTGTTGCCTGACTTTGAGAACTGCTTCAGGAGAAGTGCATTTCTTGGCATCACCTGGAAACAGGAAAAAAGATCCTTTGGATAACTTTGGATAGCATGGAGAGTTTGCTATGGCTTTAGGTGATCAGAAAAATAGAAATGTCAATGCAAATGGCACATACCTTCAGGGCTTAAAGGAGCTTGGGGACATCCTCGCAAATCAGTTCCATGGCCACAATTATGACAAGTAATGAGGAAGGACGGCACTGGAAAGTTTGGAAAAGCGTTTTTATCAAAAAGGGTGGTCATTAAAGTCTATATATGAATTATATTTCAATGTCATTAAATATGACTATGAAGGTCATTAAGTAATTCAACAATAACCTATAGACTTAAGAATCCTTTTCAACAAAAACCAATGTTTTAGTTACATCAAATCAAAATATCCTATCAAAACTTACTATCTGGGGATGAGATCTGTTTGGATGCATGACGCCAAGGATCCTGTGAGCCATTTGTAAAAATGATTTTTGAACCTGTAAATCATATCACCATATCTTAGTAAGGACGAGAGATCATGCAAAAATCAAACAAGTTTCAGTCCAGTAGATCATTTTAACCATCAAATTGTAATGACAATTACTATCTTCTCCTGCTAAAACCCCCTTTCACCACAGGCACAGAGAATTTTAAATCTTCATTCCTTCAAATGTAGTATTTTTAATTTTTCTATACAACACAAGACTACAAACCAAAAGAGAAGGAATGAGTTAGGGATGGAGCATGAGAGGGATAGAGATTCTTTTGACCAGCAGTCAAGCCCCATTGCTACAAGAATAAAGGTTAAAATACCAATTTGGTCCCTCAACTTTCAGATTTATACCAAAATTGTCCCTCAACTTAAAAAAGTACTAAAATTATCCCTAAACTTTAATTTTTAATACCACAAAAGTCCTTATGTTAACAAAAGTGTCAAATAACTCATTATCTTCTCACAAAATCAGTTCTTTTTTAAAATACTAATGACATATAAAATCAAAGAGTTATATTTTGTTATCGTGACATATTCCTATTCATATATCAAATTAATAAATAATCAAAGTTCAAATACCAAATTGGTATTTGTAATCCAAGTTCAAGAACTAAACTGGTACCTGTCTTCAAAGTTTAAGAACTAAATTGATATTATCTTCAAAGTTTGAGGACAATTTTGGTACTTTCTGAAGTTGAGGGACAATTTTGGTATAAATATGAAAGTTGAAAGACTAAACTGGTATTTTAACCCAAGAATAAATGTTTTGTAAATACGTAAGAGGATTCAAGCAAACAAATGGCTGAAAACTAGAAAGACAATTGCTACGTCTTTACCAGCAATTTTTGTTCCCCCATAGTATATATTTGTTGTATCAACATCTGGGTAGATGCCCTCTCCAAAGACATTCTTGCAAAGGTCCAAATGGTATCTGCCAAACATAGAAATATCATTTGTATCACCACAAAAAGAATATACTGCAGGCACTATTGTTTTGGCATTTAGTCACTTCATAAGAGTATAGATCCAGATAAATAGAAATAGAGCAATATAAATTAATTACATGCCTTGTATCAACTTTGGAAGAGCGAACACTATCATTTGAGGGTGCCACCTGAAAATATGCAACTTCAGTACAAACTTGGAACCACCACAGCCGATCAGCGCTATCTTCAGTAACAGCAGTGTCCTTCAAGTGTTTCTGATTATATGTTTGAACGCTAACACCAAAAGTTCCAAGGTAATAGTCCTTAACATATTTGGCATAGGCAGCCTGCATGAAGATTTTAAACATCTGCTAAGTATATGCAATATTGATTTGCAATTCAGATACATCCTAGCCAACATTAATAGATGGATGACAAGAAAGAAGAGCACATACCACTAAATCCTGTCCAGCCTTCTTAGCTTCAACAAGGGGGGTGCATAATGCATCTGGATTTCCATATTGAAACTGCAAATTTAAAGATATTGAGGTTGATGGCCAACCAGAAAAAAACATATTGAGGTCATTGCTGAGAAAAAGTAACACTGAGTCAGAGAACTGAAAGGGGGCAAAAATTTACTGCTATAACAGCAGCATCAGCCAGAAAATACAGGAAATCTCCATCAATGCCAAGCTGGAAAAATAAACAGATGTCAGCATGCCGCATGAAAAGGAAGAGAGAGAGAGAGAGAGAGAGAGAGAAGTGAAATTGAAAACCATTAGAAATTAGCAGTTTGACATTTTGGTGTATTACTATGGAAAACAACAGGTAAAGAAAGATTCAACCTCAGCAGCTCCAAACATTGTCTTCAATCCTTTATTATTTGATGCAAGCCCTTGTTCAACAAGTTGAGTAGCTTCTTGCAGGGCAGCTTTGCATTCAGGACCAGCTGACTCACCAATCTTCACAAACAGGAAAGTCAAGAAAAAGAAAGATGGTTACTGGAAACTCTTAAATTAAACAGACAATAATAGATCTTAGGACCCAAGAATGGTTGAGGCTTTCAGCCATAATATTTACAGGATACAGTCATCTATCTCGGTCATGTATCTGCAGCATTTCTAGCCATCCTGAATTCTAAATAAATAAAAAATAAAGTAAAATAAAAACAATTATGTCTGTATTTTCCTATGTGCCGTTCATTAGACATGTACAACTGCAGATTTCAGTTTAAATCAATAGATGTATGAATAAATTAAAAGTGACTCATAAAATGAAGAGATTCTCATCTCCTCACACATACATTCTAATAAACAAACATGAAGAAAGTATTTACCTGCCGATCAAATTCAGTATAGTTGTAAATGGCAAGAACGACAGCTGAGCTTGCTAGACTTCCACATGTTAAATGAGGAAACTTAAGACGGAACCATGCACTAAGAGCTCCAGGGTATGAAACACCAAAAAAAAACCAGGGATTCTCAACATTTGTTCTATTGAGCTTTAGGTTCAAGGATTCCTACCAAGTATTACAAAGAAAATGATAAATTAGGTAGCAGTAAAGAGAAGTTGCATATGAGGTCCATAAAAAGTTGCAAGTTCACACATCATCCACAAGTGCCAATGTAAACAAGAGTGGAAGCAGCATCACATAGGTAAACTAAAAGGGCTTCTTTCATCAAGAGCTTAAAAGGATAGAAAAGGAACTTGCCTGATACCACTGGCGGAAAACAGCCAAGTCAAAGAGAGCCTGTTTGGATGAAAGATATCTCAAATTTTCCGTAGTCAAAGATTTAAAAGGGGAGCTTTTTCCATAGTAACGGTGCTCAAGTGAAACCACAGCTGCCCCGAACTTCTTTGCCAGAACCTGTGCAACACAATCAAGTTGATCACCCTTCTGCTTCCAAGAATAAATTCATCTCACCCAAAGTCGAGAAATTGCACGGGCAAGCAAAAAATTCCTCATTTTTATCAAAAACCCGATGCTAAATTGAGAATACCCACCATAAATTCGGGATAAAAATCAGAACTTACACTGAGATAATCATTGGCTATGCCATTGCAAGCAGACTCGCCGCATATTTTCAAAAAGATTGGCCCGTCTGGAGATCGGAAGTAGTCCAGGGACTCATAGTACCGCTGCTCAAACTTACGATGATCCTGCCCAAAAAAAAAAAAAAAAAAG